TTGGAAATGATTGAAATTATTTTTTAAAAAGTTAAAAAATTAAGCTTATTTATATAAATATTTCTATATACCAGAAATAATTCAAATAATACATTAAATTAATATTATTTTAGTAAATCAATTTAATTCAAAAATTCAGTTTATTAAAATGATAATACTATTATTTCTTAGATACGATAAAACAATCATACCTTAAGAATGATAAAATTGTTGTATTTAAAATACGATAATACGATTATTCCTTAGATACGATAAAATAATCATTCCTTAAGAATGATAAAATAATCATTTCTAAGGAATGATAAAACCATTATTCTATAGGTATGATAAAAATCGTCCTTAAGGAACAATAAATCCATCTTTTTTAGGTACGATAAAACAATTATCTCTAAGGAATGATAAATGTATCATTTCTTAAGAATGATAAAATCATCATACCTTAAGAATGATAAAACAATCATTCCTTAGGTATAATAAAACTATCATTCTTTAAAAATGATAAATGCATCATTCTTTAGATACGATAAAACTATTGTTCCTTAACACAAGTTAAATGATATCAATTCAGGGATTGATAGGATATCCGAATGATATCCTATTGATTCCCGATTTTTTTTATTAGTGATCATTCAGTATATACTGAATAATACCAAATGATAGCCTATAATTAGGACCCATTAAGAAGCCATTTAGTGTGAGATAATTTTGACATCATTCGGTATATAATTCAGTATACTAAATGATTACTTTTTTTTTCTGTTGTTAACAATCATTGGTATATACTATTTATAAATGATTTGTTATTGAATGATATTTAAAAGCAATTACTCAATAAATTTATTATATGATTTGTACTACTATATTACATATATAATTATATATCATTTACATTCATTATAACAATAGAAACTATAGAAAAAGGACAAATAGAGACTGCATCACAGAAAGATGGACATCAATAAAGAAAGAAGATATGAGGAATTGAAAAGTACTAATACATGGAGTAAATAATTAAATGATTAAAAAGTCAAAACTGAAAAAAATATAGATATAACGATTAACTCATACATTACTTATTCATTGTTAGAAGGGTATCTTGGAGTTGCTTTGTCTGATTTATTTCAGGGCATGGATGGATCACTAAATTGAGAAGTAGTCCAATTTGATGGCTATACAGGAGTGGTCAGGCGAGATGGTTGTATGTTAGAATACCATTTGCTGCAGGATTCATCGACGCATTATTTCAAGTATTTATTATATCTGACAATAATCTATACAGGAGTCCTGAACGGAATTTCTTCAGTTGTATTAGGTGTATTATTATGAATTCATTTTTGTGACTAAGTAGCCTTAGACATTTCTTCAAATATTCTATCAACATAATCTCATAAAAATTTACGAGCCTAAAAATGATTAGTAAATATCGATTGATATAAACCAAACAGTAATAATAATAATAATAATAATAATAATAATAATAATAATAAACTTACTGTTAATGAATACCAACTAAGGTCTTTGATTTGAATTATTCTCTCACTATTCAGATGATCTGGATCAGTTTCACTATCTTTATGTGAATGATATTTATTATCATTCATAATAGGAGAAAGTTCTGATTTTGTGAACTTTTTAATTAATAGATCCCTCTCTTTTTGTAGCTGTTTGATTACTTTAACTCAACGCAACCTTTTCTGCAATCATATAAAATAATAATTAGTAATGAAATAAATATAATTAAACTATCAGTTGATTACTTACTTCTCTGACATGTGCATTTTTGTGATGACGTCTTGATTGTTAATTTTGTTCTTCGTCAGTTTTTTGTTGTAGAAGGTACGATTCCCTTTGATGTCAGTTACGTTCATGTATTATTTCATATAAAATGTTATCTTTGACCAGAAATGTACTTTGGTCAATACTTGCTTAGACAATCAGAATGATTGTCCCATTCACTAAGTTACGCTGCAATTCAAACATTTTTTTTACATTCAATCAGCAATCTTCCAGCATTGTTTCAATAATCCTAAATACTTTTCTCTAAACAATTTAAATTTATATAAGTTACTAAGAATGTAAATAAATATATAAAAAATAATATTTGTTATCCTTAATGCCGTCAGAAGCTCCTTATCCATATTCAAAGTATATAAATATCTCAATATTTTTTGATGACTTAGTGGATCAGAACTTCCTGAACTTGTACTACTTATGTACTTAAAATAGCGATGCCTTTTATTTTTGCGTTTTGGTATGCACTTTCATATATAATTACATTTCTTATCCCTTTTTAGTATATATATTTTTTTTTATTAGAACATCTGAACTATCTGAGCTAAGAATAATCATCTCATTGGAGCTATCACTGGTAGAATATGAACAAACATTAGATGATTTCGTTTTAAATAGATTGGATGGACTAGCTACTCTGTAGCTTTCAGAATAACTTTTATGATTTGGTCAACTTTTGTAGTAATAATATCATCCTCCTTGTCTAATGTTATATTTTTCAGATCAATTAATATTATATCTTTCAGATCCACTTCAAGCATCTTTCCCTTGATGACAGCTTCCAACATTTTCTTTAAATATTTGATTTGTAAATCAAAAGCATGTTGTTCTAGAATTAAGAAAAAAAAAGGAAGATAAATAGGGAAAAAAAAAGTACATGTAGATCAGAAAGATGCATTGTCGATTATTAAATAAATTAATTATTATGCTGATTAATACCTGATTCGTCTTTCTTTCCCTTTTCTATTGATTCATCTTCCTATGATTTGGGGTCATCTAATATATCATCCTATTTTTTGCTTAATCTCAGAACTTCTTCCTCTAGAACCTCTTTTACTTTCTTAACCTTTTCCCTTTAGATCTCTTTCGTTCTCTTAACTTCTTTCCTTAAAACATTTTTTGGTATTTGAGCTCCTTTCTTTTGGACTTCTTTTGCTCTTTGAACTTCTTCCTTTAGAACTTCAATATCTAAATCTGACAATTCAGACAGAAAACTATGGTGATATTGGTAACAATATAGGTAATAATATAATTTTTATAGAATATTCAGAATATTCGTATTTTCTTTAGATATAATAAATTAACAACTACTAATAATAAAATATATTACTGATTATATTTTGAGTTTTTCTTATAAAGACGCGATTGACTCTTTTTGTCTTTGCTTTGTGACCTATCACGTCATCCTAAATGCGAGCGATAATGTATAATGTTAGTTGGATATGTATTAGTTTGGTAATTTTTGGTGTGTGTTTTAGTTGAGTACGTGTTATTATATAAAAAAAATCTTAGAGAGAAAAGATCCAGAAATAATAGTTTAATTGATTTTACTTTTATTTTAATTAATTGATTTATTGATGATAATTTTACTTTTTTTTTATTTTTTTTTATAATAATTTTACTTTTATAATCTATAGTTTATTTAATGTACTGATTTGAAAAATTTAATAAAAATTTGTAATTAAATTAAAACATGTTAATAAAAATTCTTTTTCCTTGTAAATGTTGATTTGTTTTAAATGATATCGATATTGTCATATTAAAAATGCCTAAACATATAGTAAGAAGTTCTAATAAACAAACTCAAATAAAATAAATCAACTGGTAAAATCGGCAATATCAAGACAACTGGTTGAATGTAACTGTGAGGAATGTAATGTTAAAGAGGTCAACCCAAGAATGAAAAAAAGGCATATTAAATTAGAAGAACAGCTTAAAAACCGTCTTGTCAGACAAAATTGACTTATTAAAAAGCATAAATTTGAAAAATTTCGAGTTGTAAAAACACTTTGAAATGTAAAATCACCAGCATTTTTTAAGAGAAAGGCTCTGTCAACCTTTAGTTCATCTTCATCTAATTCATCTAATGATATGGTAATAAGGGAAAAAACCAGGAATCAGAGAAACCAAAATCTAGAAAAAGACATGATCAGTTTCATAATACAGATATTTTTGAAACAAACTAAGATGAAGAATACAATCAATTGTCTATTTCTTCAAGTGAAGAAGAACAGATCTATCAATCGGCTGATGATGAAAGACTAGTATTTGAAGAAGAAAAGCCAATTGATGACGAAGAATTTTATTTGAATGAGAGTGACAGGGTTCCTTATGATTATTTTTCTGCTCCAAATTTAAATGATATTGATACTAATCTGAATTCTGAACATATCAATACATCTGCTAACTTTGACGATCTGTAGATTCTTCTTTGAATTTTTAAATATCAAGAAAGATTTCACCTTTTTGACGTAGCAGTTGATTCATTAATCAAATTTTTTCGTATTATTTTACTCAATACCAATTTAAGGAGGTTTATAAAATTTTCTACTTCAGCATACATAGCAAAAAAATTGCTTGAAATTAAAGGAAAGATGAAAGTATTCACAGTGTGTCCTGACTGCAACAAATTACATAACATAGAAAATAATAGACAGGACAGATTTAAATGTAATCATGTCAGGTTTTTAATGCATCCAATGTGAAATTGATGTGAAGCTTGCAGGATGGAAATATTGAAAAAAGTTCTGATTGTAAAAGGACACATCTGACGTCCAAAGCTTGTGTTTCTCCTACCTAGCTTAAAAGACCAATTAGCTACTATGTATCAACGTCCGGGATTTGAACAGCAATTTCTAAAATGAACAAATCAGAATATGGCAAATGAATTAATGTCTGATATATATGAGGGAAGAATCTAAAGAACATTTCCTTCTTCTCTTGAAGATCAAACTTTCAGTTTTTTATACCAGAAACTACAGATTCTCATTTAAGAATCATAATTAACCTCGATTAGTTTCAACCTTTCGAATCTTCTATATACAGCACTGGTATAATTTATGGAGTAATTTGCAATCTTTCGTGTGATATAAGATTTAAAAAGGAAAACATGTTAACTCTTGGCCTTTTATAGGATCCAAAGAATTGAAAAAGCATTGCATTAACCATTTCCTAGTTCCAATTATAGATGAATTACTAGAATTATAGAATGGATACGACTTGCTGATTTCGACCAAGTTTCTTAATGGAAAGAGAATTCAGTTAGCAGCTATTTGCTGCTCAAATGATATTCCAGCTACCAGAAAACTATGTGGCACATTTCAGCAGTTGCAACTTATCAAGATATTATAAGATAGCTAGTAGTAATGAAAGGAAAGTCCTAATTTTAGTGACTTTGATGACATGAACGATTGGTTTAGACAAAGAAATTTAGAAAAACACCTAGAAAATACAATGTCTTGGTTGTATTATAAAATGGAGGAAGAAAGAAGGCAACATGTTTCATCTACCATAGTTAGATGATCTGAAATATTACGTTTGCCTTACCATGATCCTATCAGGCATTTAATAGTTGACCTAATGTACTGTTTGTTTCTCAGTATAGCCCAATAAATAGTAAAAAGGCTGTAGATTAACAGTAGTAAAATTACAAAATCTCATTTTAAAAAAATGAAAAAGAAGGTAAATCAGTTCAAATTACCTATGAATGTGAGAAGAATACCTTATAAAATAGCAACTGATGAGGGATTCTTAGGATATACAGCCAACCAGTGAAAAATATTCATAATGATTTATGCGACACCAAGTATGTGGGATCTTTTGGATGAATATGATCAGAGAATTTTGGCAAATTTTGTTCAAGTCTGTTTTTTATTAACAACATGCATTATTGACAATAATGCATTAGACGAAGCCAACTCCCAGTTGCTAATGATTGCTCGTTTAGTGAAAAAGAATTATGGTTCAGCCATAATAACACTGAATATTCATCTCTCCCTCCATATTACAGAATGCTGCTGGGATTATGATCCACTTCACTCATTCTGGTATTATTTATTCGAGAGAATGAACAGAATATTAGGTAATAAGCTATACGCTGATTTTTTTCTAAATAAAATTATGATATTAATAAATTGTTAACATTTGCTTTAGAGTCTTTACCTAATAGTGGTCGTAATATCGAGTCAGAATTATTATGTATAATAATGCAGAATTAGCAATTGGATAATTTAATTTCAAATCAGATAGATAATTCAAAACTAGCAAAATGTTTAAATTTGGTTAAATCACGACCAACTATGGGGAGTTTAGCGACTTACGATAAATTTGAATTTGATGAGTTGCTTCAATTCTTGAATATTTATCATCTCAACATTAATAATACAATAACAGGCAAAAAGCCATTTCCTGAAATCATACTCACTTTCACTAAATTGAATATAACTCTACCAGGAAAAGTTTATGAAATGCTTGTAGATTACTACAACAATGCATATGAAGCAAATGAACTGAATTTTATATCAGTTGCTGATTTGGCTAGAAGTGAAATAAATAGGAAATCAATTCGACCAATTGTTATTTTGCTTAATATAAACCAATTTTATCCATATTGGTGCTAAAATTTTTAGGTCAACTTTAGCATCCTGATACACAAAGAATTCACATATTTTGACAAAATTTGTTCAAAATAATAATGTTGTGGATACATTTGCAGAACAGGCCCAATATTATTTCGAACATAAAATTAATCTTTCAGATGATGCAAAAACCCATCATTTGGTTTTTGTTAAATGGTATTTACCAGTTTAGAGACAACAAACAAGATTTCATTTCTGAATTGAAACTAACGATGATTGTAATTGTAATGTTGAACTGCAAAAAAAAACTTTTTACAGGATCACTAAAGATAGTATAATACCAGTTCATAATATTTATTGCAGATTATCCCCAGTAATTTTACCATAGGAGTAAGAAATCTCGTCAATTATATAGCAGTTATTTCAATTAATAGACATTTTCATATGTAATAAATAACATTTGCTGTAATAATAAAGAAATACCTAAAATAATAAATCAGATTACTCGATCAAAGCATTTGATATCATTCAGAAATAATTTTATATCATTTGGTAAAAAAACTGATTGGTTGCCGATTTGTAATATATGCTAATTATAACTAATTATTGTCAGATAACTAAAAAGTAGTAAATCGGCATGTATCCTGAATGATCATCATTTAACCTGTGTAAGAATGATAAAACCATTATACTTTAGGAACAGTAAAATCATCGTATCTAAGATATGATAATACCATCATTTCTTAAATACGATAAAACCATCATACCTAAGAAATGATAATACCATCATTTCTTAAGTATAATAAAATAATCATTCCTTAGGAATGATAAAATCGTCATACCTAAGGTATAATAATACTATTATTTTTTAGGTATGATAAAATTATTATATCTAAGAAATGATAATACTATCATTCCTTAAATATGATAAAACAATCATTTTTTAGGAATGATAAATGTATCGTTCCTTAGGTATGATAATACCATCGTTCCTTAAGAACAATAAAACAATTATTTCTAAGGAATGATAAAACTATTATTCTTTAGGTATGATAATACAATCGTCCCTAAGGAATGATAGAACTATCATCTTTAAGGAATGATAAAATCATCATTTCTAAGAAATGATAAATGTATTATTTCTTAGAAACGATAAAATCATTATACTAAAGTATGATAATACCATCATTTCTTAGATATAATAAAACTATTATACCTAAGAAATGATAAAATCATCATATCTAAAGTACGATAAATGCATTATTTTTAGAAATAATAATACTATCATTCCTTAGGTATGATAAAACTATTATATTTAAGGAATGATAAATGCATCATTCCTTAAGAATGATAAAATCATCATATATAAGATATGATAATATCATTGTTTCTTAGATATAATAAAATATTCATTCCTTAGGAATGAAAAATGCATTGTATCTTAAGAATGATAAAATTATCATTCCTTAGGTATGATAATGTCATTATCCCTAAGAAATGATAAATTGTCATACCTAAGGTATGATAAATGTATCATTTCTTAGGTATGATAAAACTATCATATATAAAGAAAGATAATACCATCATTTCTAAAACTATTGTATCTAAGAAATGATAAATGCATCATTCCTTATGAATGATAAAATCATCATACTTAAGGTATGATAAAATCATCATTCCTAAAGAGCGATAATACCTATTATATCTAAGAAATAATACAATCATTCCAATTGGATGTCAATCAGTTATAAATAAGATAGATCAAATTTTAGCTGATTCTTGACCGATTTCTGATGTAAACCAATCAGCTAAGCTAATTTTTGATAATTTGCTAATATAAAACATATAGTTAAGAATAAAAAATATATAAATTTTTATTAAAAGTCTTTGAATACCATTTTTTAGATGCAATTCTATACTGTAACATCATATAAATTAATAAATACTATGGTCATATAATTTTCTGAACTTTATTTATGTAATTAAATCTAATAAATATGTATTTAGTTTGTTTATTTTGAATTTGAATAAAAAAAACTTAATCTTCTTAAAATAATAAAAATAACTCAAAAATTAATAGCAGAATAATAAAACACTATATTTTTTTGTCATCAATATGGTGATAGTTATCAAATTATTGCTAAGATTGTCAATTATAAAGTGTTAACAGTATTTGACACTTTATAAGTGATCGATAATACCAGAACTGCTAATTTGAGATCTCACTCTGATTAACTACTTCTTATTAAACATTTACAATAAAGCTAGCTTAAGTGATTTATAACTAATGGTAAAGAAAAAATTATTATTTATGCATTACAGAAGTTAAACAACTTTAAAAAAAAAACTGGCCAAGATATTTCAACTTATATTATCAGTCAGACACTTCATGCAATTAGTTAAACAATTAAAGAAAGCTTCTAATCTTATCAGAAAATATAAAGACACATTTTGTATAGTATTAGATTATCAAAACTAGATAAAAAAAGATTGGTTAAAAGTTATATAAAGTGATGAATTGACTTTTTCTCAATTTTAACAAAGTTGATGTAGTTGAGTGTAATGGAAACCTTAAAAAGTGAAATATAGCTCTAGCTGAATATTTTAGAAATGCTTTTTAATATAAGATTTAGAACTATTATTCTATTATCTGAAATAGTAACTGATATTATACATAATACCATTCTTCAAAAGTATACTATTATAACTATATAATATGTATTTCTAAATAGATTTCAGAAGAATAATGCTCATTCTTATAAAATGCAATTTATAAAGAAGTTTTATGCAGAAAACAATCTATATATATTTTCATAGCTCACTCAAACCCAGACCTCAATCCAATTGAGAATTTCTAAGCTGATATTAAGAAATTTATTCTTGAAAGAAAAAAGCCTTCTAAGCTTGCTTAATTTGACCAATATTTCAAGAAGGTATAGCAGAAAAATCTTATATATATTATTGAAAATTTGGTTGTTATTATGTTGCAGTAAATTCAGACTATAATTAATACAAATAGAGGCTTGACTAAATACTAGTTATTTAGTACAAAATGTATAATATATTACATATTAATTAATATATTAATAAAATTTTTTTCAATAAACTTTAAAATTTTAAGTTTTATATTAAGCCAGAAGTATTTAAAGACTTTTAGCAGGATTTGTAATTTAAATATAACCAAATCTCAAGTATTATTTAAATCTTTTGATAATAGTGCTTATATTACATATAATTAGACTCAAAATTTATAAATTCTTTACTTATTTTAACAAAAAGGATTTTTATTTTAAGAGTTCCTAAAAGTACATTTGTTTAGAATTTACAATACTAACAATTTTTCTTATACAGAAAAAACTATTTATATAATTGATAAAGTTGAAATGCTGATGATAGCAAATAAAAAAAGGTGTAAATTGTATATTAAGTTTAGTTTAACATTCAATTTAAAAATATAATTGTAGATAAAAACTAATTATTTTATTCAATAATTATGTAAGATAAAATAAAAATAATTTTTCTTTATTTTTCATTTATAGTTGATTTATTATAATATATATTATGAAGTTGAATTAAATTTCATATCTGAATATATAAAGTTTATTTGTAATAACCATTTTAGTTTAATTAAAATTCTTTATCAGAAGAGCAAAATAAACACTATAGATATATATTTTAATTATCAATCACTCTACTACAATTCATCTTAATATTATTTAGTATTATTTGAATGAAAAAGCTTTCAGTATTATAATTTTAAAGTTTACTTTTAAATGTTCAAAAAATTACTTAAAATTCAAAAATACCACATCTAAAAGTTATTTTTATAAAGATAGACTTAAGATGATTTTAAATAAATCACAATTTATACCTCTTTTTTAATTTTAATATTTTATCTTTTATAATAAGTACTAGATCACTTTTTTTAAAAAAACAAAAAAATTATATAAAAAAATTGCACTTTATATTGATTTACCCTATCATAATATTACTTATCCTAAGCTAAATAAAATTTAATTATTTGACTAGAAATAATATAGATACATCAAAATTTTACAGAATAATTTCAATAAAGCAAATCTATTTTTTGTATATTTATTATTATTAATTTGGCTATTATATTTTAAATTCTTTTTTTTTCATATTTTAAAAATTTTATATTGATATTATATTTCTGAATAAATTTATTTTTTTATTTTTATTTTTTTACTAAATTTATTACAAACTTTATTAAGGCATATATTTACAAATTTTATAACGAAAATAAAAATGAAAATATTAAAAGATAGAGAATAGTTTTAACAATTTACCTGCAAAATTTTATTATAAATTATAAAGAGAATTCTTAATTTTTTTACAGTCAATCGGCAAAATCAATTATATGTTTTAAAATGCAATTTTTTCAAAATCACATTTTTATTTAAGCCTTATTTTTTGCTGTAAAATCCTTATATATAAAAAAATTATTAAATTTAATACTTATTATTTTTTTAAAAAATAATAATATTTTTAATTTTAGTAGATAAAATTTATTTATTAAACTTATAATTTAAAGTATTTAGTATAAAATAATATAATTTATATACAAAAATATTATAACATTGATATTAAAATAAATGTTACTAAAATTCTACTTAATGATTTTTTATTAAGGATAGCTTTTCTAAAAATTATTTATTTCAATTAATATTTAATTATTTTTTTCTAATACATCATACAACTGAATATGAATGATTTTATTCAAGTTTTGAAATAGATACAAAGTAAAAAACAGACCTATTTAAATTTAAATAAAATTAAAAATATATAAACTTTCAGTCTATTTTTACACAAATGCAAAAAAAATTATCATATTATGATATAGAAAAATTTATTGAAGAAATTTATCAAATTTTAGTTGATGAATATTTGAATTTTAATTAATAATTTCTTAAATTAAAGATAATTTATTTGACTATTATAATAATAAAGAAAAAATAGTAATTGAAAAAAAGAAAAATCAAATATTGATAATATTTTAAATTAAAATATGCTTATTAATACTTAAAAAATATAATTGAAGATTATATAAATAGTATTAAGAAAGAAATTTAGAATAATAATAGAATAAATATTTTATAGATGAAAATAAAAAAATGATATTGAATAAGATCTAATTACTGAAATTATTAAAATCATTGACAATATATAAATTATAAATTGTAAAATTATAATTTATAAATAAATTTTGTTATTTATTTATTAATTTATTATATATTACAAAAAATTATTACTAAATTATAGAAATTTTAAAAATTTTGCTAATTTTAAATTTTACATTAATAATAAAACTAGTTTTAATAGATTATTTTTTTGGTTACTAATCTGACTATAGGCTCAGTTATTTTATCAATAGAAGCTTTAATTTAGATCTTAGATTATGATAATTTCACCTGTTTACTGCTTGTGTAAATATTTTTTAACTCATTAAGTATATTTAATAATATTATACTAATTCTTTTTAATTGTGAGTAAATCACTTATAATATCGAGATTTAGTAAAAGGTTTTCTTCACACAGAAGAATAAAAATAGAAATTCAAGATAAAATAAATAAAGATAAATAAGATAACTTATGTGAAGTACATGTAATTAATTATTTAACAAACAAAAGACTAATATTATCTCTATCAGTACGTCTATACTAAACATTTATTTATTAAAAAAATTATTATAAAACAAGATTCTTATTCTTCTTTTACATTAACGAACTACTCTTATTTATATAAAAATACTCACTAATAATGATAAAATAAATAAAAATAAAGAAAATAAATAAAATAAATAAATAACATAAATGAATAAAATAAAATAAATGAATAAAATGAAAAAAAATGAAATAAATGTCATTAATAATGAATGATGTAATAAGATCTATTTGCATAATAGAAATTAGACTATCAAATTTAGAAAATAAGACATGTAGATTATCTAATTATCTAATTTAGCTATAATACTGCAAATCATTTTAATATAGCATCAAATTTGATCATCCTTTTCAACCTTGTAGATCATTTTTGTATATCAAAAAAAACTTCTTTCCTCCTTCCTTTTTAAACCAAAAAAAAAATAAGAAAATAAAATCAAAATTTTTTATAAAATACTAATTGCAACTTATGAAGTCACTTTGGCTTACCAAATAATAATAAAGAATACTAGCAAAAAAAAAGGTAATAACTATATTATCTAAATCTACTAATGAAGTCATAGCTGGTTCTTTTAAAATTTCAAACACTACAATGATTTTTTCAGCTGATATTATGGATATTAATCAACAGACACAAGCAGGTCTGTCTGAAATATCTGAACTCTTTGTATACAATATACCTATTTTATTTCCTAAAAACACAAATACATAAGAAGTGTCTATCACTAGTATCATATCAGTGACAGTATAAACACCAAAGAATAGTGAAACATCAGCCTCTGATAATAATAATACTATGGATAAAGACTAGGCATTTGATAATTTAGAAAAATATTGAATGACAAATATATAAATAAAAATACTATCACTTTTAAAAGAATTAGAAATACAACTACTTTTTATGTTTATTATATAGCAGAAATTTTTCTTTCTAATAAATCTTTTCACAAAAAACTAACAAGACTTGTGAACTATTTAATGGTATTGAATTTTCTTTATTCATTGATGCATCAATCAAGCAGAACCTACTAATAAAATATTAAAAATTATCTGTTTAGAATTTACTATACATGAGAATACTAATCACGCAATTACTATTAAAAATTCCTAATATGAATACAATCATGTTCAAACCCTTTACTTTACTTATTCTTTTAAGTTTAACCTAAGTTCATCATTAAGGTCACAGAAATTTCTAATTTTACATCAGAATAAATTAATAGATTAACATATTTCCAATTTAGTCTGATCATCAAATGCTTTATAATGATAAAGAATTTTTAGCAGCAAGTTAATATTTCACATATATCTAAAATAGGTTTGTCATTTATGTAGGCTTATTTGTTCTCAAAGACTTGATTAGAGTGTACGTTTTCTCTCTATTAAATGATGAAATAAGATTCTGATCTCAATTTACTTTAAAACTTATAAACTTGTTGAAGGACATCACAGATAGAAAACTTGAACCAATCAGCAAAACTTTTAATACAACAACATGAATTATCCCTAAAGCTCAGTCAAATTACAGAAATCTACAATATGCATTTATGCACTTTCACACTAAAAAAGATCTTAAAACTGCAAAAAAATAAAGATTTAATCAAATTTAATAATAGATAATTAATTTGAAATACATCAGATACTAATTTATATGCTTTATTATTCAATTCTGATCATAACTCTTATAATTGCAAGAAGAAACATCCTAACTCTAAAGACATATAAACACAAAACTTATATCTATATTTCAAATCAACATAATTTAAAAATTATTCTGTACTTGCATTATGTCTTAAGGTCACATTTGTACATCACTAAAATATGATGTTTGATCCTAACAACCCTTATTTTTTTGCAAATAAACTAAAGCTGCTAAACCTCTAATAAAACTCATACCATTTTCTATTAATAATACTCATATCTTAAAGAAGTTATTTCTAAACTATTTGATATATGCAAAGAAATCATGATTTGAATAGATAGATGATAAAGTCTTATATAGATTATCTAAAATATACACCTATAATTTAACACACACCCAATAAATTTTATATAAACTCAATGCTATCACTACTAAATAAGCTAACTTTTATAATGACTTACCTTTTCTATACATCGTTTTGATGAAATTGAAAAATATCTTAACATTTTCATCCTCACACCCAAAAAGTTGAGAAACTTAATGAAGCTGCTAAAGCAGAAAATGCGATAGATACAGATACTACATATAAACCTGAAATAGATACATCAGACTCCAGAATAATAGAATATGAAAAGTATATTGAGTTATTGTATAAAGGAAATAAAAAATTATGCAATCACCATAAAATAACCATAAAAAAATATAACATTACTCTTAAAGTAGTCACAAGTATACAGAATATGGTATATGATAATACTCATCCTAATCATAAAATTCCTATCCTAAACTCAACCTATCTAGTATCATTAATATGTTAGAAGATGGTTCAGAGGTCCATGCCTCAGATTTGTTTTTTAAATAATCATGATTTCATAATATACCAATACATATATAGTTTTACATGCTTTTAATATAGCAACATATAATGTTTATTCTTTTACAAACAACAAATTTTATTCAATTTATACAATATTTATAAACTAGATATTATTGTTTTACAAAAAACAAATCTCAAATCTCCAACATATATTTACTTCTTAAAAACTATTTACAGTGACAAATTTACTTTCTTCTTCTGTATAGATCTATCTTCCCAAAGTATAGGATTTGGTGTTAGTTTTCTTATTAAAAATACTTAGCCAATTACATATTTTACCATTCTTTATTTACCATCGCATTTTTTCATTTGATCTTCAATTTAAAAATAAAATTAAACTTTGTATTATTAATATTTATATTTCTAGCTCATACACATACCTAAGAGACAAAATAATCAGAAAAACTTTAGATTTAATAAATGATACTTATTAAAAGAATTTTCTGGTGATACTTCTTGGTGATTTTAATACTGATCTATCTAGAACTTTTAATTTCTCAAACTCAATAGCATTCTTTAACTCTCTCAATAATTTACATTTAATCAACAATTTAGATTTAATTAAACATTAAAAGTCAGCTAATGATATTATCACTTATAAAACTACTACTAGCTATTCTACTATTGATCACATTCTAATATACTCATTATTTGTGATTGATAATATAATAATTATATATAAATGGATGTGTGACTAATCAGCTAAGTAGATCATAAATATTTTACTGAAAATAAGCACATCCTGTAAATAAGTACAAATATATTTATCTAAGATCTGAAAATAAACATATTTGTAAATTTTATTGTAAAAATTTAACCAGACATATTATAAATGTGAAATAATTTTACAAAAAATAAGCTATTATAACTTGTTAAAAGTATTATTATTAAAAACTTTTGTCATCAGTTTTATTTGTTACTAATTCCTCAACTTCCAATTCTACTATATTGATTTTCAATTCCGTTTCTTCATCAATTTCTGATCAATCAGTCTCGATTTCTGATTCTTCTCTATCTACATCAGAATTTACTAGTAAATCTGTTATACAAAACTTCTTAAAAGATTCAATAATAATTTTATTAGAAATTTTCTCCCATAATCGCTGTTAACATTTCTTTTTCCATTGAATAAGTTAACTATGATTTGTAGTCAGAGAGACAATAGCTATAACTTAAATCCAATCAACTTGACATGCTGTTAATTAGAGAGTTTATTTAGTTAACAAGAATAAAATTATAAGTTTTATGTTTGCAAAATGTTAAAAGTGTTTATTATTGTTATTAAATATATATTGAATATAATGTTGGGATCTGTTGGAATCTGTCCTTTTTCCAAGACATTTTTATGCCCTTTATATAGGAAAATTACAATTAAAGAAAATCTTTGGTATTTATGATACTACTGATAATAATAACAGAGCTAATAGATATGCTAATTATGTTAAATATGATATAAATAATAATAATGATAGATATAATAAAGATATAATAAATAGTATATGTGTCCTATTTGGCAGATATATTATATTTAGCATATATATCATATTTGACAGATCTGTCAGTTTCTGCCAGTTTCATCGCTCTTAATATATTTTTCACATTCCTTAAAAATATTTTTTCAGTATTATTCTCTTAACTTTGAATAAATAACCAGTAGAAATTTTAAAAGAAACTACCAATTTTAAACTATATAAAATTAAAGTTTCTTTACTATCACAGATTTTCATTATTATAAAATTGACTAAATAAAAGTTACATACTTTTTCTACTCCTCATTCTCCATAAGCATATAAGTCTTTGTTTCACTATCATGATTTTTTTCTTCCCAATCTTTACAATCAAATAAGTATCCTAATTGGTTATATTCTACTTCTAGCCTAGGTTTCTTTAGGGGTATGCCAGAAATCAGCTGATTTAAAGGGGGTGGGGGTTGATCTTTATATCAGATGAGTATAGTCACGTGATATACTTAATGTAAAATGATTGGTCAGTTTGATTTGGCTAAAAATATTAGCAAAAATCACATGCTGAATAAAATGATTGATCGGAATTATAATATTTACATGCTGAGTGCAATCAAAAAGCATTTTATTAATTTTATTATTTTATTTAATTCCTATATTTTATTACGATACGACGGAGCCACATATTATATATAAGGATATTTTAGTGTCCGACGTTATTACATCATTACATAAAACTAATATAAAAGCCAACTTTTTTCTTCTTTTTTTTTAATCTTCGTCTGATTGAACTTCGCGAGAATCCCGTTCAACTTGTCTCATACCTTTGCTTTGAACTATATCTTCAGCGACGTTAAAATTTAGATTGAATGGAATAAGCACACAACCCATTTCCATCTTGTTAGCTTGTTCCTGAAGGCTTTTTGATTTCTTATTGTGATGTCTAGAATGTACACTACGCTTATAGTCACTTATGAACTTGAGGGTCAGAAAATATTTGCCACATATGCTACAACATAAACGCTGATATAATTCTCGTGAAATTGAAAGGCAACAGCTATCGTACTTTAGAATTTTGAGTTTATCGTAATATTGAAGAGCGTGAATTGGGTTGATGAAGTGACCATCTTTTCCTTTCTTAGTTAGAGGAAGGAATCCATTATTTTTATTTAAAAGGGTGGTAGCATCTGAAGATCTATATATACTACAACATTTATTATTTTTACATTTTCTTATATCCAGTGAATAGCGACACATCTGCATATAATCCTCAATCCACTCCCACGATATTGAAGGCTTAGGATCATTGAATGGATGTCTCTCCTGGTCGATATATTCCATCATCACAGGTTTTCTATGTATGTCATCCCTTTTCCATATATCACGTAGTTTTTTTCCCGAATATTCGAAATTCTCATGCTAATTCTTCATCTACTACTTTCCCTTGACTATTTAGATGTGATCTGAATTTCTCTACAGGTAGAGTAATACCAGCAAGTTTTGCAGATAAAGAAGCTATACTGCGTTCGACCGGGTTATACGCACTTTGACCTGGAGCATGAATACGAATCGTCAAGTAGTCCAGATCAAGGGCATGGAAAAGGTGAGCATATTGAATAATATTTTTCATATGCTTCAAGTTTTCATCAGGTCCACCATCAACAAGAAGAATCCAAATAGGTCTAACTTGACCTTCTTTCTTTAGGGTAGTGAAAAACTCTTCATTCAAAATGATACTTTCTGAATCTACTATATAAGTTATTGATGAAGTTCTAATGAAATATTCTGGCCTAATAAATATGGAAAGCTGACTAGTACGAAGGGTATTGCTCGAATCAGCTGGATTAATGACTAAATAAACGAAAGGTATGAGTTTCATTTTTGAACCAGTTGGGAAATCGTGATCTTTGATAGTTACTGATTCATTAACTGACTGGATTGTTTTGAACATGCGACTAACTGTGGGAATGCCAATCCAACCTTTGCCTTATCATCCTGGGAGATGATAATCGTCTTATCAGCAAAAACTTCAGCAAATACTCTTGCGGCTTTGACGGAAGCTAGACAGTAATATTCATCAATATGAGGTTTCATTTCTGTCTGTAATACAGAGGCAAGACCAACCTTTGTTAGATGATGATGACGATGTGCAGCAAAGGTGCACTGGTTTCGGGGTTGAAGATAAGTTGATAAGCATTGACAAGATAGATAAGTATTATATTTTTCTTCTAGAGTTTCGTGTAAATGCTTCACGGTCCTAACTTTTATGACCACTTTTCTTCGTTTAGCATGAGCAGCTCCAAACTCAACACTGTCATGGATTTTATCCCATAGATCTGAAACTTTCATAGCCGTGGATGGTCTTTCTGGAGTATTATATTTTTCTACAATACCTTCTTTTAGCAATTTCTGTTTTTTTGCTGCTAGCCTTGATTGAGCTTCAGCATAACATTTCAGCTTTGTTAGCTATGCATTTTGTATTGATATATTTTTTTGTTCTTCAATTATCTTAGACAATAACAAAACCTTCATTGAGTCATCTGTAGCAATCTCTATCATTCGTTGATATTCAGCTAGACTTTTTGCAGCTGAATTGATCTTTTCAGCTGCAATATATTGTGATTTGGCATTTGGTGGTATTGTTGTAGTATCAACAAACTGTCTTGGAATGGATGGAGTGGATGGAGTGGAGGTTTGACGAGAACTATTAGTTGAATCATGTGACATAAAAATTCTTTGATAAGAGCGAATAGTGGAAGGTATGGTGTCATAATATTCCTGAATATTATTTTCAATAAAGGCAGTATCATTTTTTTTAACTTCCTTCCAAGCTGCTACACATTCTTACATTATTCTTTGACGAATTGGCTTAGGGTCACAAAGTATTGCTTGTTTGTAATATGCATATGCATTGCAAAATTCTT